GTCCAATATCCAAGCTGCTTAGAACAAAGCAACACCAGGAGGCCCTTTGTCTTCCCAGGAGCAAAGAAGAAGAAAGTTGGCGACCCAAGCATCTGTGTTATATCGCTGGGTCCCCTAGACAACCATGAGAAATAAGGGTCCACGGTGTGAGCTTTTTAGGAATGTCTTTGTTTTTAATTACTGATAAGATTCTGCGGACATTGATGTCAACAAATAAGTGTCCTCTTACGTGGATATCACGCCCTATCTAACCATCCTTATAAGTTCTAGAAAGTGAGCCTCCATCAAAGAGTTCCGTCAAAGTAAGCATCCATGGATTAATTTAGAAGCGACCATTCTCAGAAAAGTTAGTCAATCCCATAAAGACTATTGTGTCAGACCACTATAATAAAAGACAAAAACAAACAAGAAAAATGGTTTTCATACCCAACAAAGGCAGACGTTGAAGGCTATGGGCAGGGCAAGGTTGAAGGGGAGGGGGAGGGAAAGGATGTTATTGGTGTTCAATTCCTTGATCTGGATATTGACTTTCTCAAAATGAATTAAATTATACAACTGTGCTTGACATATTTTTCATATATATATATACATATAGTCCAAAATTGAAAAAGAAAGTTTCTGTGCTCAAAAAGAAAGAAAGAAAATCCCACTCAATGCTATGGGTTTTTGTTTGTCTGTCTGTCTGTGTCTGTTTCTCCCTCTGCTTGTCCACCTCTTCCAGATGATAGACATGATGTACTTTGTCATTATTATGCTGGTGGTGCTGATGAGCTTTGGGGTGGCGAGGCAAGCCATTCTCTTTCCCAACGAGGAGCCGTCATGGAAACTGGCCAAAAACATCTTCTACATGCCTTATTGGATGATTTATGGGGAAGTGTTTGCGGACCAGATAGACCGTAAGCAAGTTTATGATTCTCATACACCCAAGTCAGGTATTTAACTTCAATTAGGTCATGTCTTTTTCAAGTTCATTTATTTGTTCTCAATAAATGGCTCGAGATAGAGGACTGATGCCTAGCTTGCTATCTGGAGGGGAAAGGTGAGCACCCTATTTCAGCCAAGTCATCCTCAGGTGGGTCTTTGGAAGTGCCCTTCATGTGGCTCACCTGTATTGGCATCCCGTGCACCAAATTTGATCAAGAAATGAACCGTTTTGCTTTTTATCTAAATTCTTGTGGGATTCAAAATCCTGGGGCCATGGGTTGAACATTTCAATATTGGAAATACATTCTGTTCCCATTCTCCCCGCTACTCTAGCCCCTAGTCTTCAAAATAAGGAAAATCTCTGGAATTGTCTTCAGAACAGATAAACAATTCCTCATTGCACCATCAGAATTCAGAGCGAAGGCAAACATCTGCAGATGTTTGCCCTGCACTGGAACCTACTCTCTAATTCCCTTCCCCACTGTCTTAAATGATGTGCTATTGAGACTTGTAGGATGCTAGTAATTTTTGCCTGGAGTGTGGAAAATGCCATAGGTCACAAATGGAGTTGACTGCTCTAGATTCGAGGGCAAGAAAAGTATTATATCATGAAGTCATTCATTCAGTGTGGGAAGCAACAACACCAGCAGACCCCTGATGTTTTGAACCCTCATAGGTGCGGATTCTCTAGGTCTCCCCATAGTCTATTCCAGGCTTGATATGTACCAAATATCCATACACACCAGGCATTGGGAAATCCTCTGGGAAGGAAGGAACAGGCAAGATACAGGCTGACTCTCAGGAGTAACTCTTGCACATTTTCCCAGGGGGGCGGGGGCGGTCAGCTGTAGAAATAACACCCCTCCAACATTGTTGAATGAACATTTCTTCGGACATTTTTTGCTGACAGGCCAGCCATCTGTGCCCTGGACTGTGGACATAGATTCGTTTTATATAACCAGGTAGTAGAGTTTATTTAGAGCAAGCAGAGACTAGTCAGCACACACCTCGTCCACCCCCATCCACCACGCCCCCAGCCCCTGTGCAGACCGAGCCCGGGAACCTTAAGACAAAGCACCTCTAGATAGGAGTGCCAGGCCAGTGGCGAGAGGCTGGCCACCTACTGGTGACAGAACACACTGTGTCGCGGGCCCTTCCTTGACAGATTCTGAACTAACACCCCTTCCTTCTCCAAATGAGTTATCTGAGGCCAACCAGCCTTTTTGGAACCTCTCATTGGAGCAAATATTCATTTCACAAGACCCGGCCAGTTTGCTGAGGAAGGATGGGCGATTGGGAACTCCACCTCCCCGTTGTAGTGTCTTTGGTTGGCAAACTGTAGTCCTCCCCACAGCAGCTCCCCAGAATCCGTCTGAAGTCCTCCTTGCAAAGAGTCCCTAAAGACAAAGCAACACTTAAAAAGCCCACCCACAATCATTTCCCTCGGGGAATCAACGTGCCGTTTTCCTCCCGAAGAAATCGCTTTTCCACTTAGTTAAATTATTTTGCCTTTTCTGGTTTTCCTTTCTTCCCCCCAATGAGATGAAGACCCCCAGGGTGTTCTGCCAAGACAATGTTCGGGGAGGGAGGTGGAGCTCGGCTTTATAAAGGGGATTCTGTCTGTCCCTCTACAAGTGGCCATTTATTGATGTTGTACTATGAAACCAGCCTAGTGCAACAAATACCACCATCTGGCTGAATCAGAGGATTTATTATTGTTATTTC